CTCGATGATGGATTTGATGCCAGAAACCCAGGTAGTCAGGGACACTGGCTATCACCACTTGGCAGATGAAAATACTGAGTTCTGAGATCCAGTGATGAGGTTAAGATAAGTGAGCTGAGATTTAAGCCCATGTAACTTGACCTTGAAGCTGCTTTGGAGACATGAGACTTTGTTATTAAAGAAATACTAATAAATTAAATGCAACTAGTTGCCTTCACATACTCAGAAAACAATCTGGAATCTACCACTTTAAATGGTTGTCCATCATTCTAAGAACTATGCCTCCACCTTAGTTCTGCCACCAGGCCCCAGGTGTCCACAATCAGGTATGCGTTCCCGGGGCCCACGCTTCTAAGCACTTCTGTATTAAGGCCACAGGTAATACCACAAAAGCCAGCAGTGTAAAAGTCTGACTGTCTTCAGTTATCCTACAATATATTATCCTTATGTAAGCAGAGCCAAGTAATTTGGCATCTCCTTACTCACTAATTCAATATCACTCAAGGAGAATGTTCCCAGATAGATTTTAGATAGATTTTTCTTTCATGAACAGGTTGAAAAATCATATGAAGGATTTCTCAACTATGTTAAGACTAGTAGGAAACGCCAAATGTTAACAAACGGAAATACTTTCAGCCCCTAGAACCTGAAAACCTGACTTGCGCTGCTTTCGACACAGTAGGGTTTTTCCTTTCCTCTCCTAAGTAGCCGGATGTCAGAGGGCCTAGTGACTGCAGCTTGGTGGTGCCCGGCGCTGGCATTTCCGGACAAAGTCTCCTTCTTACGTCCCAAGATGGCTGCCCCGGCTCAGGGCCTATAGTCCACATTGAGGCGGGAAGGAGGAAGGGGTGTGTCGTGGGTCTGCAGGTCTGACCTTTTTATCAGGAACATGAAGAATCTACCATGTTGCTCCAGCAGATTTCTGTTCATGTCTCTTTGACCAAAACAGTGGCCTGTGGCTGTTCCCAGCCACCAGCTTGCCTGGGAAAGCGACTGTTCTGCTTCCCTGTCTTCTAGAGTAGAGGCGACATAGGGCAGGGGCGGGCTGTAGGTTAGTTTAGTTAATAAGCAACGTTTTCCACTTTGTTTGTTTCTGGTTGGTGTGCTTCTGGATATTTTTTATTCTTTTAGCTTGCACCAACTTTTCCATAAATGTTTACAATTTGTGATTGAAAAATACAACAGGTACTTTAAAAATCCCTTGTGATCAGTCAAAAATGCACAGAAAGAACTTTTGGATTCTGTGGGAGTTGCTTTGACCCAGAGATGGTAACAACCCTTCCCCACCTGGTTGTGTGTGTGTGTGTGAAAATCTCTCATTTAAAATCCCTTCATTCCTGTTGCTCAGAAGCACGGTGCTAGCTGCCTGGCAAGGAGCTCCTTCTCCGGTTCTCACAAAAGCCCTCCTTTAACACAAGAGATGCTGAAAGGTTAAATACTTAATTACATCACATGATGAGCAAAAGCAAAGCTGGATCTCAGTTATAGCACCAGGCTTTAATTTTCTAAGTTCCAGTCACATAGGAAGCTCAGTAAAGGTGGCATTGAATGAAGGCAGAGGCAATGAATCATTCGTTATGTATAATTTTTTCCCCCTAAACTACAGCCATCACTTGATAATTATTTCTTGTAGGGCATCTCTGTTACCATTCATTTTAATTAGTGTGATGGAAAAATAGCAGGCTGTAGAAATTGCCTGCAAGAGAGGAGCTCTGGGCTTCTTACCTATATTGAATGTCCTTGACTAATTGCTGGATAACTAATAGGTCTCCAGATGAAAAGACAGCTGAGGATTCGTTTCCCATGGAGTCTTTAAAATTTTTCATTATGAATAAATTCCAATTGTACATATAAGTCAAGAGAATCGTAGTATGAACGCCCATCTGCCTCACCCAGCTGCAAGAATCAGCTGTGAGAAGCATCAATATTCTGCTATCTTTTTCACTTCACTCCTTCCCTTATCCTTTTTTTTTTTTTGAAGCAAAACCCAAAGACTCAAATCACCACGAACATTCTATAATTGGAATGAAAAGGCTTTTGTGTGGTCCCAAGTTTCTTGTTCTTTAGATTTGCTAGCACAGGAAGTGTTGTGAAAATCAGCTCAAGGACACAGGGATTTCTGGGAGGCCCCAGGGAGGACGGGCACATTCCTTATGGGCTGTGCAATTTATTGTGCTCTCCACCCAGTGCACTCCTTGGGCTTCAAGATTTATGCCTTTCTCAAGTGCTCAAAATAAAATAGCTGGCTTCCTTTAGCTAGAGACATCTGGGGAATGTTGCTTCTGTAAGTATTTTTGGTACAAGGATAGCACCCAAGTTGCTGGAAGTGATTTGGAAATTTTCAGGTATTGGGAGCATCTGATTAGAGGCTTGGCAGAGGCTGAGTGGGCAGAAGTTAATTATTGCACAGGTGGCTCTTCCGAGCAGTGTTCTGCCCCTCGGCTCTTCCTGTTTGTTACGGCTTTAGGCCCAGCCTGGCTCCAGGCTCCCTGTATTGTGGGGTGCAGGGAGGCAGGACAGGTGTGGGGGGGTGGCTGGTGGTGTCTAGAGGGGGACCCACAGGCTGACTATCCTCCTCCACTCTGCACGCCCTGCCTGGCTCCCTGGGAGTACGACATTCGGGAGACTTCCCAGGCTCCCTGGAGAATGTGGCATTGCGTGCTCCTTATGGGCTCTGCCAGATAACAGGGACACATTTCCTGACTTCTCAGCCCAGCCCCACCTAGGGCACCAGGGATCAGGCTGGACCAGCACAGAGTGAGCCGGTGGGAGGTGTAGTGAAGGAGGTTGCTGAGAAGGTGGGAACAGGTCAGGAAGCGGCATGAGGTGGAAGCCTGTGTTCAGGGCGTAGAGTTGGATGAGGTGCCACTGGGAGCCTGACTTCACTGCAAGAAAAGGTGCCACCTGCTTGGGAATGTTGCCCTGGAGGGCCCTGTCAGGCAAAGAGAAGCTGTCACTTGCAGCACTGCAGACACAGCTGCTCCCCAGCTGAGCTCTCTTCACCAGCCCCAGGATCAGGACTTCTCAGGTGCTTCTGAGCATGCAAACCCATTCTCTACCAAGAGGGGGCGCTCGCCCCATGCGCCATCACTTCAGGGCCCAAGGAGGGTAGGTGCTTCTCAGGGAAGAACTTACCAGTGCTGTGCACTCATCTCCCCACTGCTCCTTACACCCCTCCGCAGAGCACATTTTACTCTTCTGGGCATTGAGACCAAGAAACCACTTCCATTTACCCATCCACTGGGTGATTTGCTCACTCCTCTCTGGTGACTCTTGGTGCTTATTGACCACCTGGGCCTGGCTTCCCGCTGGACTCCAGGCTCCTGGGGCTCCTCTACTGTGCTCAGGGGCAGCATGCCAGGTGAAGGTCCTCTGAAGCAGGATTGGGGGGCCTCGTGTTCATCCTGATTCTGCCATGTCACTTGGGTTCTCAAGGGTCAGATCTATAAAATCGGGGCCGCCGTTGCTGTGCCATTTGATCTGATGGGCCCCAACCCTTCCTGACCCTGGCCGCATTGTGCCCTGTGAGCTGCCGCCTCCCTTCCTGGGCTGGGGTGGGGCCGGGCCTCAGTGGGGAAGGGGCTGTTATGGTTTGAAGCATTAGTGCTTTTGATTTCTTTGAAGTCTGACATTTTTTCACTGACACCTGAAAGAAGCCAAGTCTCTCCTTTGAGTTTCCATGTACAGGATGGAGCTGTTTTCTTCACCCATCATCTCCAAGAGAGATGCAAAGGAGAATCCAATTCTGAGAATAAAAATGTTAGTGTCTGATGGCAGGGCCCTCATAAAGGATCTTTCGGGCTTGTTGCTTCACAGGTGGGAGACTGAAGTTCAGAGGAAAGAAGAGACTTGCCCAAGATCGCGGAGTGTGACTTTGAGCCTGGCATGTTCACCTCCGACATCTGCATACCCTCATCCCTGGCCAGCCCCCTGCCTGGCATCCTCACCCCCCAGCTCACTGAGCCCTTGGCTGAGGGTGCCACGTGACCTGGAGCCTGAGCCATGGAGTGGGGGGCTGTCAGCTGCCCACCTGATCTGATGTGTGCACAGGAGGGATTCACTTCACCCTTAAATTCAGAAGACACTTCAGACATCAGAGGCTGGTGTGACCTCCGGGTGTTGGGAATATAGATAATGTTTTATTTTCTCCTTCCCATTTATCATTCCCAGGGTGTTCAAAAGTTTTACAACCAGCACCTGGAACTTGGTAGCCCTCACTCTGAATCTTACTAGAAGGAAATTGGGGTGCGCTGAAATGCCCAGTCCCTAGTAAGAGTCGTGGAGAGGACTAACCATGAGCCCTGCCAGCCAGCTGAGGCCTGGGGCTGGGGGAGGCCCCATGGTCACCCCCCTCTCACTGGGCTTCCAAGAGGGCCTAGACTGCATCCCCCCTCCTCCCCACCATTGCTGTCACTGTGCCC